TCATACATTGTAGGCTAACTTTTATGGATTCATTAACACCTTTTTCATGTTCACGACTAAAAAAAGTACATTTATGTGTTATTATAGGATGGATGAAGGCAGGCAGCCACTTTCAAGGAAACTACCAATACCCTCTAGCAAGATAAATCCGTACAGAATAATAATCCTACTCCGGCTTGCGATCCTGGTGTTGTTTTTTCACTACAGAATTCTGCATCCCGTGAATGATGCTTTTGTTCTCTGGCTTATTTCAGTCATTTGTGAAATATGGTTTGCTGTATCATGGATATTGGATCAATTCCCGAAATGGTACCCAATTGAAAGGGAAACATACCTCGATCGTTTATCATTGAGGTGATTTCATCTTCCTTTATCCTCTTCCCTTCCCCACTCGTTTTTTCATTGCATCTCAATTCCTTTCTCCTTGCCTTTGTACTCACACTAAACTCGTGTGCATATCAGAGAGGGAATTCAGTTTTAGCTATTATAAATTTTATTTATATTATCGGTTTTTCTCCCCCTTTTTAAGGTATGAGAAAGAAGGAAAGCCATCTGAGCTAGCACCTGTAGACGTATTTGTGAGTACAGTTGATCCAATGAAGGAGCCACCGCTTATCACTGCAAATACGGTTTTGTCTATCCTTGCTGTAGATTATCCAGTTGATAAAGTAGCCTGCTATGTCTCTGATGATGGTGCTGCCATGCTCACGTTTGAGGCTCTATCTGAGACATCTGAATTTGCAAGAAAATGGGTACCGTTTTGTAAGAAGTTCAGTATTGAACCTCGAGCTCCAGAATGGTATTTTGCTCAGAAAGTAGACTATTTGAGAGATAAAGTAGATCCAACATTTGTTAGGGAACGCCGGGCCATGAAGGTTTGTAACATTTTTTCCTGATATTGATATGTTTGCTGCGGCTAAGTATATTCCATTTGACTAGCTTACCTGCATGAAAGAACCAAGTGTCAACCAAGAGATCTCATTACTTGAGCATAAAACTTTAGCAGGAAGAGAGTTTATTTATATGTATCCAGAAAAGAAAATATCAACTTACATAATTGCTATTTCTTTATTCTTATGGCTAGCATTTTTGTTCTTAACTCGTATTCCAATGGTTTTAAGACATAATGTTTCATATTTGGTGTTTCTCCTTTGTTGATACAGAGGGAATATGAAGAGTTCAAAGTTAGAATAAATGGCTTGGTTGCAATGGCACAAAAGGTTCCAGAAGATGGTTGGACAATGCAGGATGGAACTCCATGGCCCGGTAACAATGTCAGGGACCATCCTGGAATGATCCAGGTGAGCTGTTATTCGTTAATGCTGTTTGGCATTTGGTTCAGATGCTATCCAGCCCCCATATTATTTGCAGTATTCATTAACATGGTAAACATTTGGTATTCTTTGTTTTAGGTTTTCACATTTGGTATTCTTTGTTTTAGGTTTTCCTTGGTCATGATGGTGTTCGTGATCTTGAAGGGAATGAATTACCTCGTCTAATTTATGTTTCTCGTGAAAAGAGACCAGGATTTGATCACCACAAGAAAGCTGGGGCCATGAATGCTCTGGTATACCCCTCTTTCTCTCTATCTCTAGCATGCAGCTGTGCAATCACAACAGTCTCAGCTTGGCATGCCGATCTTTCTGTTGTCTGGTTTTATCTGATTGTATTAATTTTTGGTTGATTTATGAAGGTTCGTGTTTCTGCCGTCATCTCCAATGCTCCTTTTCTATTGAATGTTGATTGTGATCACTACATAAACAACAGCAAGGCTCTTCGTGAAGCCATGTGCTTCATGATGGACCCTATTTCGGGCAAAAAAATCTGCTATGTCCAGTTTCCTCAAAGATTCGATGGCATTGACCGACATGATAGATACTCAAACCGAAATGTTGTCTTTTTTGATGTATGTATGATTCATCAAACTTTAATTTTGCGGGCACGTTTCTTCGTAAGAGGAGAAGATGACATCATTTTTTTTAATAAAAAAACAGATCAACATGAAAGGCCTGGATGGGATTCAAGGACCTATTTATGTTGGAACTGGATGCGTCTTCAGGAGGCAGGCACTCTACGGATATGATGCCCCTGTCAAGAAAAAGCCTCCAAGAAGAACATGCAATTGTTTGCCAAAATGGTGGTGCTGCTGCTGCTGCTTCCGATCTAAAAAGAAGAATAGAAAATCAAAATCCATTGAAAAGAAGAAAAATGAGGTTCCAAAGCACATACATGCTCTAGAAAATATTGAGGAGGGAATTGAAGGTAATTATTTTTCTTCATTCGCTTCCAGTATGCATCTGCGAAATCTTGCAATATTCTTCTTCAGACATTTTGTTCACATCAAAGTTTGGTCTTCCATATTTACAATTATATTGCCGCAAACCTAGAATTATTCCACTATTTTGTTGTTAGGATAGGTGGTGTCGTGGCTCTTGGTTAAAGTTAAGATTATTTTAGAGCCTTATAGTGCCATCATCTATGTTGCAGGTATAGATAATGAGAAGTTTTCCCTTATGCCACAAATCAAATTCGAGAAGAAATTTGGTCAGTCACCTGTTTTCATTGCTTCAACACTTATGGAGGATGGGGGAATCCCGAAGGGAGCAACCACTGCATCACTCTTGAAAGAAGCAATTCATGTCATCAGCTGTGGTTATGAAGATAAAACAGATTGGGGGAAGGAAGTACGTCGAAAGTGTCCTGAACTTGATAAATTAATCGTATCTTGTGAAGTTTTTTTTTTTGTTATTGAATTTTGATAATGAGGCTCATCAATTCCTATCATCATCCAGGTGGGATGGATTTATGGCTCTGTTACTGAGGATATATTAACAGGCTTCAAGATGCACTGCCATGGCTGGCGATCAGTGTACTGCATGCCGAAAAGGCCTGCATTTAAAGGTTCAGCTCCCATTAACCTCTCAGATCGTCTGCACCAGGTTTTACGTTGGGCTCTGGGCTCTGTTGAAATTTCTTGAGCAGGCATTGCCCATTATGGTACGGGTATGGTTGTGGATTGAAACCCTTGGAGCGCTTTTCGTATATTGCTTCTGTTGTGTACCCTTTGACATCAATTCCACTGCTCGTGTATTGTATACTGCCGGCTATCTGTCTCCTTACTGGAAAGTTCATTGTCCCTGAGGTAATTCTGAATTTCTGAGTAGCATATCTTTCTAACGTGCGTACTAAATAATTATTTTGAGATCAATTAGTTAAAAACAATCAGTTAGGATTAGTCATTTTCAAACTGTTTGTAGGTGATAGTATGACTGGTCATTGTCAACACTCAGCATTGTAGCAAAAGTCATATGATGGTGTTTAAATGGCTAGCAATAGATTTTGTAGTTTTTTTTTAAGAAGTAATGGGGTCTCATTAAAAACCCACTTCATAACGAACACACAGCCTAAACTCGATGTCGGACAACGGAAGGAGGAAAAGAGTACCCAGACCTGTCTGATGGCAAGCAATATATTTCTCTTTTATATATATATATATATATATATATATATAAGTAATGGGGTGTTTAGATGGCAAGCAATAGATTTTGTAGTTGTTACTAGTTATTACAATATTCGTTCCTTCTTTTCTATGAACAGATCCGAGACCTGACTGAAGTCCATCTTAGTTTTTCAACAGTGATTAAGAATAGAATGGAGCATCATTAGAACATGATCTGATTCTGTAATTATAATCATTAATCATCTCCAGCTGGTGAACTTGTGGTACTAAAATCCTTCTAGTGATGAATTTCATGTAGTTCTGAAGCTTACTAATAATAAGCCTTGTCCTATGCAATCTATATGAACAATGCCCCTATTCTGGCTCTAACTATAATACCGTCAAAGTATCCTTCAATATGCCGAGGGAATTACAAAATCTGGATGCTGCATTTTATCTGGCTTTGTCAGGATTTCAGCTAATACTGATATTTCTATTTGCAGATTAGTAATTATGCCAGTCTCCTTTTCATGTCTCTCTTCATAATCATAGCTGTGACCAGTATCCTAGAAATGCAGTGGGGAGGTGTTGGAATACATGACTGGTGGAGAAATGAGCAGTTCTGGGTGATCGGTGGTGTCTCATCACACTTATTTGCTCTTTTCCAGGGCCTGCTTAAGGTTTTAGCAGGAGTTAACACAAACTTCACTGTTACATCGAAAGGAGGAGATGACGGGGAATTTTCCGAGCTGTACATATTCAAGTGGACATCTTTGTTGATTCCTCCCATGACATTGTTGATCATCAACATAATCGGAGTCATAGTTGGGATTTCAGATGCCATATCAAACGGATATGATTCGTGGGGACCTCTATTCGGTAGACTGTTCTTTGCATTATGGGTCATCGTTCATCTTTACCCCTTCCTCAAGGGGTTGATGGGGAAACAAGACAGGCTTCCCACCATTATTGTGGTTTGGTCAATACTTTTAGCATCGATTTTCTCTCTTTTATGGGCTCGAGTCAACCCATTTATATCGAAAGGAGGCATTGTTCTAGAAGTGTGTGGGTTGAACTGTGACTAAAAATACAATAAAAGAAGAAAAAAGAAACAGAGCTGAGAGATTAGATGCCCCTTGTTCATTGAAGACGGTGTGAAAATTGCATAAATTGGCTGCGTTTTTGGTCGAATATGAAGATAACATTCCTCGATTCAACATAACCGCCCTCAAATATGATGTAAAGATGAGGAAGAAGGTGCTTGTAGATACATATATAAACTGTGATCCTGTTTGTTGGTGTTGAGTTTACCTTCATTTTGATTCTTTATATACTTTTGTGAGTTTTGTGGGTTAGAAGGTATTGATTTGATAAAGTCATTTGTAATCTCTAAGATAATAAATGGTGTAGTTTTTATCCAGAATGTATCATTGCAAGTCTGACGTCAAAAGCTTCACGGAGTAATGGAAATATATAATCAAAATCAAATGTTCACAAACATCACAAAGTTCTCACAATTCTACAAACAATATAGTGCATAAGATATGCTCGTATGTAAGTAGCAAATTGTGTTACCGTCTGCCTATTGTCAGCGAAATGCCACTAATATAATAAAACAATCATAAAGAAACAGTCAGTTTCAGATACGCTGGAGCGGTGGCCTCAGTTGGATGATTTTTAGACGTTGTTCTGTATCCGATCTGTTCCCTTTTGGTGCTACCCTCATTCTCCTTCATGTCATGGAAAATTGGTCGCTTTGGTGTTCTTTGAATCAAACCAGGCTTGCTTTTACTTTGCATCGCGGAAGAAATCAAGTGCTTAACTGGCACGCTGTTGCTTCTCTCCATTTTCACACTCACATTTAGAAAGTTTAGTTCGGTTCTGAAGGCTACTTTTTCACCATCCGCAACTGCAACACAGTTGAATGCAAAAAATGAACATAATGCGTTTAAAGTGTTGGTTTTATTTTTTGGGGTTGTTGTAATTGAAATGTCCAAAATTAAACAGATCTAACCTTTGGCAGTTTCTGAACTATTTAAAAAGGGAGATTTATCTACCATTGCTGCATCCAGCCCCGAGAAGTCATTTCTCAACTCCATTGTTTCTTCGGTATCTTCAGGTCCATCCTTTCTCACAGATAAATATGTGTCCTCAACATCTGATTTCGAAGTATAATCACCCTCTCTTGAATTGCATTTTGTGACTGTCATGTCTAAAGCTACATCATTACTATCATCAGCCTTTGCATCTGAATTTTTAACGTCATCTTCAATCCCAAACAACAATCTCGTATCCATGTTGGTAAAGATGTTTGATTCATCAGGATTCTCTAGGTGTTTACGTTCTGCTCCATTTTAACATCATCAGTGGACACAGTTTTTTCTGTACTAATATAAAAGAGTTGTTTCCTTCACAGATCAGTAATTGAAATGAAGGGAATGAATGAGTACTTACCATCAGAAGAGCAATCCACAACCATCTCAGGTTTCATTGAAGAAACAATGTTCAACTTGCTGCAGCTCTCAATTTCCCTGGATTCACGTGCTATGGTTTCAGGAAAATGAAAGGCATTTGGTTCCTCAGTCTCTAGGTTCACATCTGAATTGTCAATGTCATCCCTGTCTGTGTCAGTTTTCATGGACCCGTCACAATCATCAGCCTTTGCTCCAACAAGTTCTTCAAGACCTATCTTGCTCTCATCTTCGAAGGAACCATCGGTTACATCATTAAAACCTCCGGAACTGATTTGGCGCCCATCTATTTCCTCCCTTGTAACTGTATCATGACCATGAAAAAGCAAATCCAGTAATTACAGTCGCCTCCTCTAAAGTACGAAAAGTTTACAACCTTTTGAGTATTAAAGATGAGTCGTGAAAGTTAAAGCCTCAATCCAATTAACAACTATACCTTTGCATTCAGTAGAAATGTCAGTTCCCACCACACCGTTGATGTCATCCATAGCTTGTGGATGTTCTTCTTCTGCTTTCCACAGGAAAAAGAAAAGATAAGTCATATAATTTGATAAAAAGATAGAGATGTACTTTTAGTTAAAAATCGCAACAGCATCAAGTCATTTTTTTTACAGTATTTGAAAAAAAAAATGAAATAGTGGAATTACCAATACTGATTTCAAGCTTGCTACAAGGTGTATCATCAGTTGACGAGACATCTTCCTGTTCACCATGTAAACATCTCTGATGAGAAACAAGTGATTTTTCACCATCCTCGACCCTAGCTTCTTCAATGGTGAAGGCAGTATCAAATTGTTTTGCTGCATCACTATCGATTATTTCAAGATCATCAACTTTTGTTCCAGATTGAGGGTAGCTACTGTTTGAAGTGCTTTCCAATGGGAAAACCACTGGAATGTTATCCACATCCAGGCCAGCAGTTGATGTCAAACCATCTACTCCGAAGGAAGAGCTACAATCATGTTCAAGTCCAACCTCTTCACCTTGATCATCATGAACACCGTAGTTCTCAGCTTCCATAGCTGCAGGCACATTTGATATCTCTCCTGGATACTCGGTGCTCGGAACCCCAAAAGTATCAGTTTCTTGAAATATTGGATCCGTGACACTCATATTGGGTTCGGGCAACTCTGCATCTACGTTGCCACCACCATAGTCAGTAAGCTCAGCTTTCAGGGGTGATGTTGCTATTTGCTCCACCATATTATCCTCTTGTACAACATCTGTTTCACCACTCATACTGATTCCATTGCCATCCATGGTTGCAGCAAAGTCTTTAATGACAGGATGACACACAACTCTTTCACCACTGGCATTCATTTCTCGATCTACCAGCGCATGATCAAGAGGGCTCATTGAAAAAGATTCTGAAGTGATAGGTGTAGTCCTTTCATCGGATGGCAAAGTTTGAGTGCCATTACCAAAAGCTTGCTTTGAAATTTCACTTTCATTATCCAGCTGTTCCAATGCATGCTGAGGCAAAATATTTACTGGAATTCCATCTATTGTATCCATGCAAATTGCCTCAGATTTTTCTTGCATGTCATTGATGGCATGCTGAAAGCTGTTGTTGGGCAATTTCTCGTTCCAAATATCTGAAACAGGCAGAAAGAAGAAAAATCCTTGATAAATAATTAGAGGAAAATGATAATCTATTTAGCATATAAAATTCTTTTGTTCTTGTCCCAAGAATATCTACCCAACTGCTACATTCTTCCTTTATTTGTACTTTCTATAATTCTTCAGAAAACTGAACTGATTAAACACAAAAGCTTTTGAGGAAACAGCCAGGATTAGCAAGAAACAGAAATCAAATTAACAGTATCATCTACCACAGAATCAAACAACAGTAAGATGTACTTTAACAAAAAAGGGATAATTCTAATGCACTAGCATTGTGGATAAACATCACCATGAGAAGCATTTTCAAGCATATCATTACCCTTCTCTTCTGGTGAAACCAGACCTGCTACTTCTCCATCAAAAAATTCAATCGTAAGTTTCTCCTCTATTTCACCTGAAACATCGTTAAAGTTTCCATCCGAGATGTCCATTTTTTTAACTATTGCACATTGACAGTCAATACAATCTGAAACTGGATGATAAACGCCATCTTCCCTAGACTTTCCTTCAGAACTCTGATCATTAATATTTTTTCCACTGACAAACAACACCGTTTCAGATTTTATTGTGTCTTCATTTTCCACTATTTTTGCATTTTCTTCAATATTTAGCTGATCAGGCATTGCACATCCTGCACTGCTAACATCGGTTTCATCTCTATAAGTTGTGCCTGCAAGCAAGTGTATGGTAAAAAGTTCAATCAACAAACTGCCTGGATCTTAATATAAAACACTCTTATCATTGTTCAATATTCCAAAAAGTTAAAAGATAGTGAAAAGTAAAGATACCTTGGTAACCTTGGCTGACTACTTGAGTTCTAAGAGGACTTATAAAATCTTTATCGTGACTGCTTAAGCTCCATTGCATTGCTATAGTTGTTGTTTGACCAGTGGTTTCACTCATTTCATCTGTCTCAACTGAACTTTCAGTTTGTACCATTCCTATACCAGATGAATCACTGGTACCTGTTTCTTCTGTTTTCTTCAAGTAATCTCCAGATTCCTTTGTACCACCACTTTCACAGACTTTATTCAAGTGATCCCAGAAAACTACCTCCTGAACTGGTTCAACAGCAGTTTGGTTGGTATCTTCTAAGTGCATTAAACTCTTACCCTCTTGAGTAAGACTTGTGTCCTCTTTAACTTCCATTTTGTCACTTTTCCAGAAAACAATCTCCTGAACTGCTCCAGCAGCATTTATGTTGGTATCTTCTGACTGTATTGAACTCTGATCCTCTTGAGCAAGACTTATGTCCTCATCTACTTCAATTTTGTCACTTTCCCAGGAAACTACCTCTTGAACTGGTTCAGCAGCAGTTATGTTGGTATCTTCTAAGTGCAATGAACACGGATCCTCTTGATATGTGTCCTCTTTAACTTCCATTTTGACACTTTCCCTGGAAACTGTCTCCTGAACTGGTTCAGCGGCAGTTATGTTGGTATGTTCTAATTGCAGTGAACTCTGATCCTCTTGAACAGGACTTGTGTCTTCTTTATCTTCAATTTTGTCACTTTCCCAGATAACTACCTCCTGAACTGGTTCAGCAGCAGTTATGTTAGTATCTTCCAATTGCATATAACTCTGGTCCTCTTTAGCAAGACTCGTGTCCTCATCTACTTCAATTTTGTCACTTTCCCAAAAAACTACCTCCTGAATTGGTTCAGCAGCAGTTATGTTGGTATCTTCTGAGTACACTGAACTCTGATCCCCTTGAGGAAGACCTGTGTCCTCTTTAACTTCCGTTTTGTCACTTTCCCAGGTAACTACCTCCTGAACTGGTACAGCAGCAGTTACGTTGGTATCTTCTGAGTAAACTGAACTCTGATCCTCTCGGGCAAGACCTGTGTTCTCTTTAACTTCCGTTTTGTCAACTCTGTAGTTAACATTTTCAGTGTTCAACGATTCTTCTAAATTCAATACTTTCTCCGGTTTCAACTCATTTGAATTTTCACCTGCAAATATAAATCACGAAGTGTTAAACTAAGGAAATCAACACGGTATTGTTCATTATGAAATCATAAACAAACTCACCTGCAATTTTTTTTTGATTGACTGAAGTGTAAAATTCAGCAAGATAGGTCATCCCAGAAGAAACCACTTTGGTAGCATTGCTTGCAACTTCAACCAAAGCATCATCAAGAGAACCTGTTTTATTTAAGGGCGGAAAAGGTAGATTTTTTATTTCACCCTTAATGATATCATCCCGTTTCTCTTTTTCATCCTCTATCAGATTGATAAACTCATCTTGATTGCATATCTCACTTCCTGTAATGCTGACAGTAACCTCAGCACTGCATAACTTATCTTGAACTGAAATGAAGGGGGAAAAAAAATCAGAAATGCCTTAACAGCACTCTCAGTTTGACTTAATGTGCACCTACTTTCTTGCTTGTCTGAATCCTACCTTTCTCCCTTAGGTTGTTCCTGATTCTCAGTTTTTGTTTAGATTATATTTTTCTGTTAGGTTGTTCCTAGTTTCCTCCTTTCACTTAGATTAGTTTGTTACTTGTGTATAAACACTAGTCATGCTGATTCAATAGAATGCAAGACATTTTTTACGCTCCCCTTTCCTTTACAGTTCTCACAGAATTTTATGTTCTAAAATGCTAATACCTAATAAAAAATAAATTCCACACACCTTGGCTTTGTGGAGCAAGTCCAACTGAAGTTCCGCGAGTAGCAGTATCACTACTTGATCTACACTTTATTTCTGTAGTATTTGGTGTACCACTTGTTGCAGCAACAACATCAATCTCAGTTCTATATTCTTGCTTTTCAGCCTTCACAGATCTCTCAGCGAGTATAATTCCTTCTCCATTAGAAAACATAGTAGCACTCATTTTTTCAGACGTCTTCAAAGGGATTTCTGATCTTTTCTTCAAAACAATACTTTCACCAAGTTCTTTGAGGATATCATTGAAAATTACCTCCTCAACTGAGTTAACAATAGTCATATTGGCATTTTCTAATTTTCCTTCAATCCGATCCTCCACAACTGGATTTCTTATTCCTTCATCATCCATATTATAATTTATAAGGTTCATGTTTTCATAAGGTTCTTGAATCTCCAATACCTTCCTCAGTTCTATACTACTTGAGGTTCTGCCTGCAAATTGTCAACCACTAAGTGAGTAACCATGAAACTCGAGTTTGTACGGTTCATTCATAACATCAAAAGTATATAAATCCACTTAACAGCATGGCCTCCTCGGCTAGCAGAAGAAAAAACAACAGCTAGAGAAGCTATCTCAGGAGAAAGAACTTTGTTACCACTGCTTTCGAAACCAACCGTTCTAGACTCAACCAGGTTAGAATCATCAATAACACCTGTTCTATTCACAGACGGAGAAGACTTACTTTCAAAATAATCCTCATGTATCCTAATCTTTTCAGCATTTTTCACCAATCCAGTATTCTCCTCATTCATTAATACAGATTCATGAATACAGGATTCAGTTCCTGGATTTGGATCTTCACTTCTTTCTTGATCAGACATCCCACTTCGTGCAGCATTAGCAACCTCAACTCTGCACTCATCTTTGACTACAATGAAGAAAAAGAAGATAAGGAATCACACCGTGAATAATTATACGTTCTAAATAGCTTACACCTACAGAAGGAAAGGGAAGAAGTTTCACACATTTGTTACCTGGTGCAGGTCCAAATGGAGTTCCTGGAGCAACAGTGTCGCTATATGAGCTCTGCATGACTTCAAATATCTTTTGAGCATCAGTTTCGGCTGTAGTTGAATGAGATTGTACACTACTCTCTTGATTTTCAGCAGCCTCAACTGAACTCTCAATGTGTGGAATCCCTTCTCTATTTGAAACATCATTAGCGATCATTTTTTCAGCTTTCTTCAGGAAATTTTCTAATTCACTCTTCAAGCCAGTACTTTCACTAGACTTATTAAGTTCAGATACTTCCTCCTTGACAGATTCAGCAGCAGTGACATTGGTTTCTTTTAATTCCACTACGATCTGAGCCTCTCCAAAAGGAGTTCTGCTATAAGCAGCAGCCACATTATTTCTCGTGAAGTTAGTGTTTTCACCACCCGGTAGCTCTGTCCCCCATTCTTTCTCTGAGTGAAGGAAGGTGGAGGTTGCAGCTGCGGACAGTAGACAATAAACAAAATTATCACAACACAGTTTTCTAGGAAATCAAAACGGAATTCACTCACCACTCACCTGTAAGATATTTTTTATCAGCAAATGGAAGACCATTATCTCTAGACGTTAACTCATCCATGTTGATAACATTACTTTCAAATTCTACCATCATTTCTTGACCAGACACTTCATTTCCTGCAATATTGACAGCATTTTCAGGTTTAGCAATTTTATTTTCAAGATAGTCAAGCAAGAGAGTTCAAGAAGAAGAAAAAAAACATCATTAAGGATTAAATTTTTCGAAAATAAAACAGAAACAGAATAGAACGATAAAAAGTTGGGAATTTGACCCACCATGGCTTTCAGCTGGAAAAGTTATCAGAGAAGAATCCGTCCCGTGACTACACTTGCTTTCACAATTCAGTCGTTTGGGGTCCAACCAATTAGCATCCTCGAATACACATGTTGTCTTGACGGTCCGATTTGACATGCAATTCACTTCACTCTCAATATTTCCGCCCTTGACTAATTTCTCTACGTCTTCTTCTACTAAGTCGTTTTCCTTCTCATAAAGCGCCACAGGTTTCTGGGCATTCTGCTTCATTTCTTGGTCTGTAGAAGGGCCTACCAACTGCACATATGATTCATTCAGATTTTCCTCCATATTTCCAGCAGAATCCTTGTCTTCTTCCTTGTTAAGAAATGGAGGTTCAAATCCACACTGCTTCTTTGCTCCAGAATTCCTTCTCAATTTCTTTCTACTTTTGTTAGAGCATGCGTCGCAGCTTTTGACAACCTGTTCGCTAACATCCAAATCAAGATTATTTTTATTTCCTGCACATTCTGACACAGCAAATAGCGCATCCTTTCCAGCTGGTAATTCTTCAGGAGATGGAAGACTCTCAGTAGGTGCAGCTTCCTCTTCTACAGTCTCCATTCTAGACTTGCTTTGCTTCTTCTTCTCGGTGTCTTTGGCTGTTGCATTAGGAGGTGCAACAGAGGCACTTATATAAGTAATTCGTCTGGATTTTCTTTGAGGTTTCTGGGTTACAGGATGACGTTCACGAGCAGAAGTTTCTTCTTCTTCCAAAATAGGCCCTTGCTTTTGTTGCTTAGCTCCCTGGTCACTTTCGGCAACAGAAGTTTGACCTTCTTTAAGTGGTGCTCTTAAATGCTCTCCTCTAGCAGTATCTTCCTTGTTTGCAAACTTTACAGCTGGAGAAGCAAGAATCACAGTCTTGCGTCTGCTCCTCTCGAGGGGGCTTGGTGTTGTGAAGTAACGGCATACTTCACCCTCTCGGCCTCACTACTATCTTCCACAATCGCATCCAATTCTTCATTAGAGCCTTTCCCTAGAAGTCGTGATCTTAAGTGCTCCATTCCACCGATATCTTCTTTATTTGCCATATCGAAAGCTGAAGCAATAAGAACCACAGTCTTGCGCCTACTCCTCAAGGGAGCTTGCTGTTGTGACGTAACCACGTGCATGTCCCTCTCAACCTCACTACTATTTTCCACAATAGCTTCCAATTCAGTAGTTCTACTTCGTTTTCTGGTCTCCTCTTTCAGGAATTCTTCCTTATTTGCCCCCTTATAACTCTGAGATACAACAGATTTTCGCCTGGAAGATCGTCTCCTTAAACATTCTGGAGGTTCCACAAGTGCAATGTCTCTTTCAGATTGCTCTTGAACCTTCGTTACCCGAGTATCACTTTTCACAGATGTAGCACTTTTAGCATAATCTTTTTCTGAATTATGTTTTGTTCGTCTCAGAAGCTTCTCTGTTTCATTTCCATCCTTTACCTCAACTATTTTAACTTCATTTTTAAACATAGAAGCTACATCTTTGGATTGTGCCCTAGACAGCCTTGTCACCCTAGAAACAACTTCAACCTTTTCCACGTCACTGCTGAATGCCACACACTGATCTCCTTTTCTAGCATTCCTCTTCAATTGCTTTGGGCCATTTTTGTCTTCAGAACTTTCATCCAACAATTTAACCTTATCACCTCCTTTGCCGTTCCTTTTCTTCTTTGAATCTTCCCGAGTCACATTCTTCCTACTTCTTAACTGCCTCCCACTTAACTCATTAGTAACCTTATCATGACCATTCTTGACATCTTCTTTCAGACCCAATTCTAAACCCTCGGTATCACCAATATTAAGCACCTCGGCAGCTTTATTCTTCTTGCATCCCCTCCCTCTCTTTCTCCCAACAGGAGGAAGAAACAGTATTTATTTCTTCTTCAACTGCATTTTGCACTCTAGACCTTGTGACTCTTGATTGGCAGCCCTCAAACTTTTTAATATCTTCACTTACAGCATTTTTAAGTACCTGGACAGGATTATTGGACAGTGTTTGCCTCCTAGACCTTCTCTTAAGCTGATGATAGCCAGAATCCTCATCCTCGATGGTTTGATCGTCAGGACTAAACCTAACTTTCTTTACCTTCTTTTTGACAGCATTAGCTTTATCCTCGCTACATCTTTCTTTTGGAATTGAGCTCAACTCTTCTAACGAAACAGGATCTTGATTTTCCTGTTTAAAACAGGGGAACAAAACAAATAAAAGAACTGAGCTACTTAAATGCAACTATTGAATTGAACCATTGTACCGCAGATATTTAACGTGCTACTTGCTTTTATTTTTATATCTAAAAGGAAAATCAATTAACACAAAAACAACACAACTGTTTGAAGTTAACGAAATGTAATGTCAATCCAAACGAAAATTTTTCCAGAGAATTTAAAATTGTCATTCTAGTTAAGCGGTTCAAAAACATTGTTTTCTCTCTCTCTCTCTCTCTTTTTGCTTCATGGAATGCGAATAGTATAATAATGACGACAATAACAACCTTGTAAAGCTTAAGATGCAATAAAGCAAGGGAAAGCAAATTCCACACCAAAATTTAGAATTCAATGCTTCCCTCTAAAATTCACTTTCAGATCTCTAGATCTACAGAAAATCATTGAAGAAACTCACAAAAGTTCATTACACATAACAAAAATGTTACAGAACTGTTCACGTGATTAGAGATTGACCGAAGAGTGTTAGGGTTACGCTCACACCGCACTAGAAATTTTAAATTCCCTTATATTTTATGTATTTTCTTTGTATTTTCTATTGTTTATCTAATTTCACATCATCGACTTTTAATAATTTCACATAGCCTAAATTTTAATATAATTTCTTAAGTTTGCACCTAACATAAGTCATTTAGATTTAGTTTGATTCATAGAATACGATTCCCAACTGAAAGTCAAAGAAACTATTTGGAAGAAAAAATAAGATGATTAAATGAAGAAGAAAGTACACCTTAAAAATGGAAGCCAAACGATCCGCCATTTCACGGTTGGTTAAATTTGCCGGGACGCGGTGCTTTTTACACAACCCCTGCAGTTCCTTTCTCTTCATTCTATGAAAATCCATCTCTTAACAATAATTAAGAAAAGAAAATCTAAGAGAAATCTAACTGGAAATGAAATTTTTAATTAAAAATATAACAAAGGGAGATGAAAGGGAAATCTAACTAGAAATTAGATTTTTAATTACAAAGAAAATCAAAGGATAACCTAACTGGGAATCAGATTTTTTTTATTAAAAAGAAAATCAAAGGATAAGCTGGCTGGGAATCATAATTTTTGTTAAAAATAAAATACTGTTTTGTTCTCCATGAAGCAAAGCTGCTGAAGAACTGTAGCAAGAGATATTTTCAGCGTAGATAAGTGTTGTTCGTTTTCTGGTAAAATAGAGGCTTGGGATCGACGGTTTGAATTCAAATTTCCAAACGGTAAGTTTTGGCGCTTTTTTGAAAACTTAAACTATCTGGGACATACATTAAGATTCTAGATCTACTCGCTGTATTTCAATGAATTACTTTCTACTCGCCAGTAGTGCTCGACAGGTGGTATGTTCACAGTGCGTATAGTGTAAGCTCAGTCCAAGAACGGCGTTTAGTAGTGGTGCATGGATTTCTAAGTTGCGAGTGGGCTTTGAACTTTGAAGAATTACCTTTCATTTATGGATAAGGGTATGTCTTTATTAAAAATCGCCACGTGGAGGAATATCTTAGCTTGAGAAGCGGTAAAGCTGTGTTTTCATATCGTCTTCTTGGTCTTTCACTCTCCCTTCCTACTTACGCTTTGTTCATCGCTTTAGTTTTATATTCGATTAAATAATGTTGAAACAATCAACTTAAAGGATTTGTCCTTTGACATATGTTAAGAGTAATTGTGATTTTAAGGTAAGATATTATTTGAGAATAAATTACTTTTGAAAATCTATTCTTTTAATAAATTTGATACTTTAGATTTTCATATGCTCATCATTTTAATTAAAAGGGTAAAGAACACTAAATTATAATAAAAAATCAATGTGATCATCGGATGAGATCACTAAATTATGATAAAAAATCAATGTGACCATCAAACTTTCAATTAAATCAATGTGACCATCGAACTTTCAATTGAATCAATCAAACCATCCAACTATTTAATTGATTCAATCAAACCATCGGCCGCTAATTTTTAACAGAGGTTGTGACATGTACGTTAATAAAATTGATATAATTATATATTTGGTCCTTAATATTTACATATTATATCAATTTAGTCACTATTTTAATTCAATAAAATAAATTTAATTATTCAATTAGAGCGTGACACGTGACAATACATGATTAGAATGTTTTATTTATAAATTTTAAATTATTTAATTAAATAATATTTCTATCCAATCAGGTGGTGACACATGTCACTACCCAATTGAAATGAAAATAAAGGGACTAACATGCTTGCAAAGGGACCTGTGTCAAGGTGAAGAAGCTATCAAGTGCCCAAACTATTGGGCCAAAGGTCCCCAATGATTTAAACTTACAACAATTTATATTTGATTTATAAAAGTTTGTTAATGATAAAAAAACTAAAAAAGTTTTTGTTTAAAAAAATTATTATTTAAATTAATTGTAAACTATTTTTTTAATTAAAAATATTCAATTGTTATATAAATTAGAAAATTTTAAAAAATCGCGTTAATTCGAAAATTGACTGAGTTAACCGGAATTTGTTCGGTTCGATTAATAATTTTAAAATAAATTTCGGTTTGATTAGTGGTTAAAGAAAAAATTGGTTAATTCGGTTCATTTAATAATTTTTAAATAAATTTTTGTTCAATTAACGGTTAAATATAAAAAATTCGGTTAATTTGGTTCGGTTAATTGAACTAAAATTTATTTGGAAATTATTAACCGAACCGAATTAATTTGAAAATTATTAATTGAACCGAATTAACCGATTTTTAAAAAATTATTAACTAAATTAATCGAAGCAAAAATTAGGTTAATTCGGTTCGGTTAATCGAACCAAAATTTATTTGAAAATTATTAACCGAACCGAATTATTTTGAAAATTATTAACCAAATTGAATTAACCGATTTCTTCTTTAACCATTAATGAACCAAAATTTATTTAAAAATTATTAACCAACAACAACAACAAACCCTATTTCCATATGCAATGGAGTAAGGGGAGATAGGATAGTAGGCTGCTCCCAACGCCAGGTTGAGAGCAGCTTCCGTAGAAGACCTCCTTGAAAATTATTAACCGAACTGAGCAAATTTTGGTTAATTCAATTTAAATTTTAAATTTATATAAAAGTTGAATATTTTTCATTCAAAAAAACATTTACAATTAATTTAAATAATAATTTGTTTAAACAATTAATTTTTTTATTTTTTTATAAATAACAAACTTTTACAAGTCAAATACAAATTGTTGTAAGTTTATATCATTGTGGACCTTTGGCTCAATGGTTTCGGCGCATGGTGGCTTCTCCCCTTGATACAGGTTTGATTCCCCTTGCAAGCATGTTGGCCCTTTTATTTTGATTTCAATAAGGTGGTGACATGTGTCACCACCTGATTGTATAGAAAATTATTTAATTAAATAATTTAAAATTGTAAATAAAATATTCCAATCATGTATTAACATGTGTCACGTTCTAATTGGATAGTTAAATTTTTTAATTGAATTAAAATAGTGACTAAATTGACATAATATATAAATATTAAGGACCAAATATATAATTATGCCAATTTTATTAACTGACACATCACCACCTCTGTTAAAAATTAACGGTCGATGATTTGATTGAATCAATTAAATAGTTGGGTTGTCTGATTGATTCAATTGAAAGTTCGTAATCACATTGATTTTTTACCATAGTTTAGTGGTCTCCCGTGTAGATTACCCTAATTGAAATAGTTGTCATGATCTTGACAACTTTATGTATGACTAGTTGAATTATATTTAAAATTCTTGTGAATGTTTTTTAGGCATGTCAAATTACACTAATTCACTAATTTTTTGAGTCTTTTCTTGCATATTAACTATGTAATTCTCAATTCGTATCTGAGGCTCTCTTTCAAAATTTCAATTTGAATCCACTTTTCAGTTACAAGATTCTATTACGAATTTTCCTCTTAAACGTCTTTATTTTAATTTTACTTTTTAATTACCCTATTATGCATTATAAGATTTAGAAATTTTATGTAAACAAAAAGTATTTAAATAAATATTTAAGGGTGATTAAATCAAATATCAATTCTTTTATTAGAACTTCGTTTTCATTTTGATTTATTTGAATATATTTTCAAATATTGTTTATATTTTTGGGTCTTCTAGACTATATACTTATGGATTTTCACTCTAGAGTTTATTACCTTATTTTAAAAAAATTTAAGGATTCATGTCCCTTCCATAAGTATCGCATCTGAAACTTTGATCAAGTTGTTTTAGTAAGGAACTTCACATTTGAGTTTCTCATTCTGTTTATTTCATGTTTCCTTGGACATTTTCTTCTTTCTTTCCCATTCATAAATTTAAAATTCAACTCGAGCACAAGTGACTTCATGTATGTGAAACATGTCTCCTTATTTTTTTTGTCACTAATTTATAAGGTCCCATCTTACTGTACAATAGAATTGATTATTTTCATTCATGTGAATAGAATTTTCTTCAACTTTACCCTCAATATGATCCTTAATTACAGTTCAAATATATATATATATATATATTTGCGCGTAAGTGAGAGAGAGAGATTCAGCATAGACAATATATTTTTCTCTTTTTGTTAATGAAACCTAATAAATGATTGCAGTTTATTATCTCATGTCTTTTACTTACTCCAAAATAGATAAATATTTGTAATTAATCTCTTTATTCATCAAGAGATCAAGAGATCATGCCTTTAATATGTAATAAGTGCAAGGTTTGATATTGTCATATATCGAAGGTTTATAACCTGAGTTTTAAAAGAAAATTTCATTTATTTGATTTTCAAAATCATTTTTAAATCAGTTCATTGTTCATAGACCTACAAACGATAATATTTATTTAATGAATGAAAAATTTCAAACAATTATAAGGATTTTAATAAATAAGTGAGGGTAAATATTTTTAAGTAAGACCAAAAAAAAAAAATTATGTAGAAGAACATCAAAGATTTTATGACCAATAGTTTCTTATTGTCCTATACCAATCAAGCAGATTCAATTCATCATTCTCAGTAAAATTCATCGTTATTTATATTCAATCAGCCATACGTTATAGGGTCTCACAATTTTTAGTAGTATGATCTGAAATTTTGACTTAAATATTTGACTTAAAGGTGTTAATAAATAATATTAAAAAATGTTAATATAATTTTATAATAATTATTAAAACGCTTAAATTTAAAATTTATTTATGAATTATCTTTCATTCGCATTATATTAAACAATAACCTTTTATTTTGGATTAGTTTTTTTTTCTATTCATCACTTTATTTTTATGAAAACTTACATATATTTTTGCATATAGAAAAAAATCACATTTTATTTGAATATTTATTTATGTTTGTTCAGCCAAGACAAACCAGGGCCGGATGTTTTGGCGTTTAAACCGTCGGATCAAAATCCTAAATATCCAAGGGCGGAGATAAAAAAGCCCTAAAGACAAACATCGGATGCGAACTTGTTCTCTCCCTTAGGTTCTAAAGAAACCAAAACCCTCATCTCTCAACCTTCCATTGCAGTGGCGGCGCACCCATTCTTAATTAATAAAAGGTTAATCTTTCGCTATTTGATTTATCAGTTATGTATCCATGACATTCTACAAAAAAGGCTTTTAGTTTCGTCTGTTTTTTGTCACTCTTCTTTCATCTCTCATCCTTGTCTTCAGATTTGCTAACTTGGATTGTTTTGGTTTAAAGTTTGTGTTTTTGTGATTTTTTTGAAGTAAAAGAGTGCTTCTAGTTGAGATTTACATAGTCTTTTTTTTTTTTTATAGGTTTGAAGATGGTTTTCGTGTATATGCACTGCTTTTAGCTGCCTCAACTTATATTCTCTTAGCTTTCAGGCTTAATGACACTGGGCAACTCACATTTGAGTGTCTTGTTAAGCCTTTATGTTGTAGTCAAGTTATTTTCCTCCTCTTTGCAAATATCTGATTATATTATCTTTTTGTGATTTCACAATATCAGTTTTTTCCCACACCATTTTTCTTTGATTTTCCTTTCTGCTTATCATAATATTATAGGCATGGAAAAGGAAAAGGGATGTAAATGGATATCATTTTTCTTTTTAAATTATTTTTGCTTACAATCTTTGTTTTTCTGTGTGAGCTGAGAAGGGTTATTATTTTACTCATATTAGTGGCTGCAAAAAAATTATGGTTATTTGATACCGTTTTTCATATTTTCATGCCCATTGCATCTTCTCAGTGTATGATTGTTTCCGATTGATCTATAGTTTCTTTTATTTATTTATTTCACTCTGTTCTATGTTCTCACAAACATGTTAACTTTACTTATTGTTGTGAGCAGATGAATGTGGAGAGGCTCACAAAGATGGCTGGTGCGGTCCGCACTGGTGGAAAGGGTAGCATGAGAAGGTACGCTGATTGTGTAGAATTTCCGTATATAGTTTAGTTATATGAAGTTTACTGATTTGCCATCTGCTAAATTTTGTACCTAAGTGCTGTTAAGCACTTTAGGAGAGGCTCTTGAATCAAGTTTTTGCCTGCTGCGCTTTATTAATGTCAAGCAGAATCTTTTATCTGCCCCTAACTTAAATTTACTGAACTCTACGCCATTTTGATAAAGTGCTTGTATTTCTATGTATTATTGTAGATTGCATATCCTTATCATGTTGGTTTTACCTATGTTAACAGAAAGAAGAAGGCCGTACACAAGACAACTTCCACTGATGACAAACGGCTACAGAGCACCCTCAAGAGAATAGGAGTGAATGCTATTCCCGCAATTGAGGAAGTGAACATATTCAAGGATGATGTTGTTATCCAGTTCATTAATCCAAAAGGTAGGCATTTCTTTTTCGAAGTGGACCATGTAATTCTATTTTCGAAGTGTTTTGCATAGTAACTAATATGCGATGGTTCATATTTCAGTCCAGGCTTCTATTGCTGCCAACACTTGGGTTGTTAGTGGTTCCCCTCAGACAAAGAGTAAGCCACTCAACTTTAAAGCCTCTGAAAGTTGATCAAATCTGAATGCTATTTACCCTTTGAAGATTCACTCTATCATTAACTCCATTGACATCAAATACTGGTTTTTACCTTCATCTTTCCTTAGGTTTTTTTGCTTTGTTATCTTGACATGTGCTTTTTCCCCTATTTCAGAATTGCAGGATATTCTCCCTGGAATCATCAACCAATTGGGTATTGTACTCTTGGCTCTGCTGTCGATTTTATTATTGCTTCTCGATTGCAAATTGGTGTAAAATTTTGACCCTTGTCCTCAAACTTATAGGGCCAGATAACTTGGAGAACTTGAAGAAATTGGCAGAACAATTCCGGAAGCAGGCGCCTGCTGCTGACGGTGGTGCTCAGGAAGAGGATGATGATGAGGTACCAGTACTTGTGCCGGGTGAGACCTTTGAAGCTGCAGCAGAAGAAGGAGAAGCTGCTAAATAGTGATATTAGAGGGACTTTTGTTGTGCCATTTTACATGTTTTTCTTTCCTCTGTTGTTCTAGTTGGTGCACTCCCTTTGTAGTCTAATGTTTTGGTTCATGTTTCTAGAATTCCTGCAATTGCTGCATAGACTGCAATTGGTAGGGGTTCTTTATTTTTTGTCCGTTGCTATTTGCTAATGATTATCCTCGATGCTCAAAGGGCAGCCACACTGTACTGTCTTTGATGCTTGGTTTGCTAACATTGTTTAGGATTGGCTTTAGCACAATAACTAAAATGCCCGGTTTTACAGCGGAAAATGTCGGTGAAGGGAGCAGTCTGGTTACTGCTGTTACAATATTTTACCCAAGTTATTTTCAGCATCTCTTTCTCACTTTGCTTTTGTTTCTTTGAAATTGAATACTAAAATTGATTTTTTTTTTAATTTTGCTAACGCTTTGTGTCAAACTGGTATGTCAGGTAGTTCTGCTGTTTGACGTCTTAAATCTCTAATTTAAAGTGATTTTTAACCTAAAATGTATCTTGCTCAACCTAAAATGTATACAAATGTAATATTTTCGATTGTAATAAACAAAAAGTTATATTGCAGCGAGTCTTGCTTGGGATTTATAATTGAAAAATTATATAATTTGTAATAATTTCAGTTACAACCGAAAATGTTAAGAAGAAGATAATATTTTGTTTAATTTAAAATGTCACCGTGTGCAAGTTAAAATATTATGATTTTAATAAGATTTTCGGTTGTAACCTATTTATGTCGTTTTTTAATTTTATAATAACAAGTTGTATTTGAGAATATCTTGATATATCTACATATTAGTATAATAACTTTTACTTGAATTTTTACCTATATTTCTAATTTCAAGTTTAAATTTGTATTAATGTTTTATATTATAACAACTATTTTTTTAAATTTTTTTATAACAACACTTTTAAATCGTATGTAATAATTAATTTTTTTATGTTAATACTTCTGAATCAAGTGATTATTTTGAATTTAAAATTTATGTAATATAATTCCTTATATATAAAAATATTATATATTGAATATTTTTAAATAGTTAACTATTTTTATAACAATAACAATATATACATATACATATACATATATTATAAATTATATAGAGTATAAATAATTAAAAAGTGTATTATTATTAATTTTGAGATAATTATAATTTTAAATTAATTAATTACTGAAGAAAAGCCCAACAAAGCGGGTATTAACCTATGTTATAAGAAACAGAAACTAGGGTTTTATTGATTCAGCAACTTGGGATTGAGAGCTGCCGCATCCAGCAAGCAAGAGTAGCAACCACAGGTGACTCCCAACTCACTTCTTCTCTCTCTTTCTTTCTCTTTTTTAGTTTCTTATCGATAGAAAATGTGTGAAATGAAAGATAAATAAACTATCTTCTCATTTTTTCTTGAATTTGTATCACATTGTAAATTCTTTGATTGAGTTGTAGGTAATCAACACTTCCTGTTCTCTCTCTCTCTCTCCCTCTCTCCCTCTCTCTTTTTAATATAGAGTATAGATCTATAAGAAGAACATTGGTTTTTTTTATACATTTATATTTATTTTTGGTTATGTTTTTATTTTGGGGTGAAGGAGAGGAAGAATGTCTCACAGGAAATTTGAGCACCCAAGGCATGGTTCCCTTGGATTCCTTCCAAGGAAGCGAGCTTCTCGCCAGAGAGGAAAAGGTATTCGCTTTCATTTTTTTTGTTTATCTGACAATAATAGTATGATGATGATGTAGCTATAGAAATTATAGTTTTGAAACTGATATGTACCTATTGTGTTCTTATCTGATGCTGTTGTTTTCTTCTGGTGCAGTGAAGGCATTCCCAAAGGATGACCCCAGCAAACCTTGCAAGCTCACTGCCTTTTTGGGGTACAAGGCTGGTATGACTCACATTGTCAGAGAGGTCGAAAAACCTGGATCTAGTAAGTTTGTTTTCATCAAGTAACTCCACAATTATTTTTATTGTTTGCTTGAAATGCAGTTTTCTTTTACCTGGAAGTGCATTGGGATTCTTTGATTGAATTACATTTATATAATGGTCTATTCATCTTTCAATTTTATCGGAATTTTAGTTGATTTTGTATCCTTTATTTCCGTATAGAGCTCCACAAGAAGGAGACATGTGAGGCTGTTACTATCATTGAAACCCCTCCTATGGTGATTGTTGGGGTTGTTGGATATGTAAAGACACCACGGGGCCTCCGATCCTTGAACACCGTCTGGGCTCAGCATCTGAGCGAGGAAGTCAAACGTCGGTTCTACAAACACTGGTGCAAGTCCAAGAAGAAGGCTTTTGTCAAGTACTCAAAGCAATATGAAAGTGAAGATGGGAAGAAGAGCATCCAGGCTCAGTTGGAAAAGATGAAGAAATATGCAACTGTTATTAGGGTCTTGGCCCACACTCAGGTTATAACAATTTCCGACTTAATATTGTTTTCTTATATCTGCACTTTTCAATTGTTCATTTCTTGTTCATGGTTTTCATATTGCAATTCTTTATTGAACATGTTTCAAGGTGGACAATTTTCTGACCAAGTACATTGCAGATTAGGAAAATGAAGGGATTGAAGCAGAAGAAGGCACACCTAATGGAGATCCAAGTCAATGGTGGAACTATTGCCGACAAGGTTGATTTTGCCTACAAGTTCTTTGAGAAGCAAGTCCCCATTGATGCTGTTTTCCAGAAGGATGAAATGATTGATATCATTGGTGTCACAAAGGGTAAAGGTTACGAAGGCGTTGTCACTCGTTGGGGTGTCACACGTCTTCCCCGCAAGACCCACAGAGGTCTGCGTAAGGTTGCTTGTATTGGTGCCTGGCATCCTGCTAGAGTCTCCTTTACAGTTGCCAGGGCAGGTCAGAATGGATACCACCATCGTACGGAGATGAACAAGAAGGTCTACAGGGTTGGCAAGGTTGGTGATGAGACCCACTCTGCCATAACCGATTATGACAGGTTAGTCCGTTTGTCTGTTTAGCTCCGTAGATTATACCTAAAATATATACCCCCTTCAGATTAGAGTTGTTATGAAGGTGTCTGGAGATTTGCTTTAATACCATTGTTGAATTTGTGGCCTACTATTCAGGACCGAAAAAGATATTACCCCTATCGGTGGCTTCCCTCACTATGGTGTTGTGAAGAGTGATTACCTGATGATCAAAGGAGGCTGTGTCGGACCTAAGAAGAGGGTGGTTACACTTCGTCAGTCTCTTATTAACCAGACATCTCGTGTTGCCCTGGAGGAAATAAAACTCAAGTTCATCGACACCTCCTCAAAGTTCGGGCACGGACGCTTCCAGACAACACAGGAAAAACAGAAATTCTATGGTCGACTCAAGGCTTAAGTTTTCAGAACTGATCCGGAATTTTGGGTTATCATATGTTTAAGTTTTGTTTCAGCCCAAGCTTAGTTTATATCGTCTTTCATTTCCTTTTTGAAACCGAACAGTTGGGTTTCTTTTGTTTTCTCAATCTGGAGTGGATAACGTTTTAAGTGCAGAGGATTTTCAACAGATGAATGCACATTTTTATTTGCTGTTCTTTGTTGCTATGATTGCAATTTGATCATATTCCCTTGCGTGCTAGAATTTAATCACGGAATTTATATAAATGCAAGACTAGTTATTTTATGCATGTAACACAAGGGGTAACGGTCGTCTCCAAATTTTACTATTTTATACATTCACTCAATTTCTACCATCTTATTCCAAACCTAGGCAACCCGTCAAACAAACTATTGACGCTACAATAGTTTATTATTACTATATTCTAATACTGATCGGCCGCATCTCTTCCCAACACTAACCCGTAAACCGTGCTCCATATGAAGAATGGTACTAAGCTTAGGAGTCGCTATGTGGTTTTCCACCATTTTGACTTGGTAAATTTTTATGATGGCCATTGCAGTGGCCTTCATCACGTTGAAAGCAATATCCTACCCGACGCAGACCCTTGGCCCGGTGTTGAACACAGAGAACTTGTGAGGTGGTTCATGTTTGATCCCTCCATCTTTGATCCATCTCTCTGGCTTGAATTCATGGCAATCCTCTCCCCATATTGATGCCATCCTTCCCATCGCATATGATGGGATTATAACCATTGTTTTGTTATCGGTCTGATGCCCGTTGGGAAGGGTGTCATCATGGAGCGGAGTTCTTCCAAGGAAAGGAATCAGCCTCAACGTTTCACATAGAGTCGCGTGGAGGTAAACCATTTAACTCATCGGCGTCGAATGTTACTGGTTTCGTTGTCCCATGCGAAAGCTTTTTAATTTCTTGTCTGATTTTGGTTTCAACCTCGGGGTGTTTCGTCAGAAGCCAAAAGAACCAAGTGAGGACCGTGCTTGTGGTGTCATGAGTGGCAAACATGATACCTAAGACGTTGTCTTTTATTACTTCCTCAGAGATCGACAATGGTTCTACGAGCTTGTGTCCGATCATGTGAAGCTCAAGCACATTGAAATCAACCTCGACATCCTCCATTGTTGCTCTATTGCTCAGTTTTTTTCGCTTTAGTGATATGTACTGTGAGAATAACTGATACAGAGTTACCCTAGCATCATTTAGCTTCTTTTCTTTTCCGACCCCAAGTCATTTTTGTAATCTCCAAACACTTTCTGGAAGAAGATGCCGAGCAAATATTGCTTCAAAAGCATCAGATATGGCATCTGAGAAGCGACTTTCATGGGAATCGATACCGAAACAACTAGGATCATAACCAGTAGCCATTCTGCAAGCAATATGAAACATGTGCTTGCTCAACAAATGCTGAAAATCAACTGGAACCTCTTGGCTCGAGAGACGATCAAGGGTCTGGATCAACTCTCCCATGCTATCCTGGAAAATCTTTGACATCAGTTGCTGGAATCTCTGGTGACTTAAGAATCCTCTAATAAAGAACCTGTGATTCTTCCACTGCTCAAAATCGGAATTTAAAATGGTTCCTCCGAAAACATCGAAATTTTTTTCCCACTCGGCACCTTTGGCATAGGCCGACAAATTTTCGCTCATGATGTGGTGCACGTTGGCAGGGTTGCAGGTGAATAAAATGTTCATATTGGCAAACCAAGGTCCCTTGAAGAGAAATGTGCCCCCGTTGCTTTCGAGAATCTCAGTTCTCTTGTCGAGAAGCCGATCAGAGTTGCTAACGATTGCCGGCAACATCCCGAGTAGAGGCCAGTTTCGTGGAAGCTTGGTGTTTTTGCTGGAATAGAAAAG